GTGTGTTTTAAGGGTGGGAATGGAAGCCTCCCAGTAGCATTCCTGTCTTGGTCTCCAAGCCCATGGCATCATTGGAGAGCCTGCTATGGCAGTCCAATAGGCCAGGACACTGAATTGTGTTCCAATTGCTCAAATGTTTCCCTATACAGCATAAAGTAAGTTATTTTCTTTTTGTATCAGTGAGAATGAAAGCTAAATTCTAAACTGATTTATCTGGGAATATAAAAGGACATTTCTTGATAGATGTGCCTATGATTTCAGTGTTAATGCAACTTAGTTTAGGCTCAAATTAGATTTGGTTTTTTTAAAAAAATGCTTCCAAATAAACTGTAAAGTAGTAAGATAGCACTGTAATACTTTATTGATCAGCCATTAGGCCACATCAGAATATAAAATATAAAATACAGAACAATAATAAACTGGGTATGGATGTACATTTTCTGAAAAAGATTATCCGGAGAAATCACCCTAGGGCTGATATTTTAAATAGCCATTAGAAACAGGTATTAAAGACTTCAGGGTCAAAATATACATCATGGAAACAGTTCATCATTTATTCAAAAGAAAGGCATGCACATTTCCTGATAGGTGGAAAGATGACAGGCCTCCAGGTGAAGAGGAAGATGTGAACAAGGATAAGCAGGACTGTTCAATGAACAGTCGGAAATGATAGGCCTATTTTGCATGATATTGTATTGAAGGGTTCTTGTTTTCCTATCCTTTCACATGATAATGTTTTGGGTCCTCAGGATATCTTGGATTTCACAAGATATAGGAGGAATACATTTCTCTAGTTGGATGGATTTGGTTCTGTCTTGTTTTAGATCATTAGAGGCTGACCGAGTTGAGCCATGTATCCAAAGCACAACGGGCACATTTCTTATATTTGAACAAGCAAGATAAATGGAAACATCTGCTTTTTACTACTGCTTCTGCTGCTATTTAATTAATGTGCATTCTCTTCTCTGCTTTCCGTTTCTTTTGGCATGCTGTCTTTTCATTCAGCTGAATAGAGCTATTACTCAGGTCTCCTATGTACTCTTGAAACATTTTACATGGGACTGCGGGTGCAAGGATTAGTCCCTTTCCCTTTGGAAATAATTCAGGTCTTTCCCATGTATAATGTCCAGATCTTTGTTTGAAAAGCCAATTGTTCTTTTACATCTGGCAACATGAGGAAAAAAATATAGGCCATGTACTCTTCATTTGCTGCCATACCAGCACACTTGCAAGCCTGTACCCACTTACATGGAGCAGATACCATGGAATACAGTAGGAGGGGGCTTATTTCTGAGTCAGCATGCATAAGATTGCTCGGAAATATATTCACTTAACTACATCAATATTTCCTGGCATTGAGTCTGGCTGTATATTTACAGTACGTGAATTGCTAACTTTATATCTCTTTTAATTTTCTAAAGAATCATGCTAGCTAAATATAGTCAGGTTGCGAGGAGTGGGAAGAGAATGGGGATTGTTATTTTCTTTCCCTCCAGAATTCAAATGCAAGCTTGGAGCATGGAAACTGCATCTCAGTACAGGCTTAAGGAAAAGCTAGAAGAAAGGCTTAACTAGACGGCAAGCCTTTTAAGAGGACAAAGAAAAATCTGATCCACAGGAATTAACATCAGCAGGAATTAATGTAAGAAGGAGCCCTGATTTTTCAGCTTAGTACACATTAGGACATTAAAGAAGTGAAACTAATTTTTGTCATTAACCTTAAAAATTCAGTGCTTTGGGAAAACTCCCAGCTGCTTCTTGCAATCTGCCGCTCAAAGAGCAAAGCAAACTGCTTCTATTTGTCTGCATTAAGTTGTCTTTTTCAAACCTTCTCAATATTTTCTCCGTTGGGGAGGGTTGGCCAGTTGTCAAACAACTCTTTGGTTTTCCAGTTAGAGGAAAGACAATAGCTACGTTTATTGCTGACTGGAAACCCCTTATGGACTTTTTGTGTAAAACAGGAAAAAAATGAACTTATGATTTATGGTTTTAACAATTAGACAGGATAGACTATAGAAAGAAGAGAGAGATGCTGCAACTTTAGAGAAAGAGGTAAATTTATCATTGTACTTATAACTGCTGTAAAGAAGATTGGAAGCCACTTCCTTGTATCTTTTTTTCCTATTTTTCTTTTTTTTTCTTTCTTTCTTGCACTTTTAGCTTTCTCTTTGATTTCTTTCTTTTTCTTTTTTATTCCTTACTTTATACTAGTTTGTATTGGTTTTTACCTTCGTTTTTAAAACTTTTAATAAAATTATATTAAAAAACCCAGCTCTTTGGCTTTGCCATTTTTTACTCATTCCTCTCCCAAGCATTTCATTTTCATGTACCACTAATTTGGAATTACACTTGAACCCATCACCCACAGCAATTGCCCTCTCCATGAGATTGCAATGATCTGTCCAAGTCACAGGTCTGCAATTGCCATCTTCAAAGGAATAAAATTCACCAGAGAAGAAGAAAACAACAACACACTACCCTTCCTGGATATCCTCATCAGCAGAGGAAACAACAGGAAATTAGAAACTCAAGTTTATCGGAAGACAACCCACACCAATCAAGTGCCCCACTACCAAAGCAACAACCCGACCTCCCACAAGAGGAGCTGTGTAAGAACATTATTCAAGTGAGCTCAAACACATTGCAGCAACCCAGAACAGCAGAAAAAGGAAAAAGACCACCTAT